GCATGCGCCACCATGCCCGGCTAATTTTTTATATACATATCAGTTGGCCAATTAATTTCTTTCTATTTATAGTAGAGACGGGGTCTCGCTCTTGCTCAGGCTGGTTTTGAACTCCTGACCTTGAGCAATCCGCCCTCCTCGGCCTCCCAGAGAGCTAGGATTACAGGCGTGAGCCACCATGCCCGGCCTTCAGCCTATTCTTTGACCATTGGTTAGTTCTTGATTCCCATGGGCTGACCCAAGTAGTCTTTGACAGCCTTTGCCGTTCCCATGACTAGATGTTCCAGGCATAGCTTGCACCTGTCTTGCTGGAGCCCAGTCAGTCATTTTTCAGGAAGCCCTGGTAACGGGGTGCCCCTTGTTACTAAGTTAGTCATTGTCTGTAGGATTTTTTTAGTGGACAAAGGTATAAAATATGTTTTTTTTAAATTAATTCCTCAAGACTTTATGTTGGTGCTTCCAATACAAAATCAGGACTATAGATAGAGCTGTTATTTAACCTCTTATATCTTGCATCTGTGTCTCCTTTCTCTCACGTTGAGACTCTTGGTTGACAATGAGATGGAGCAGGGACTCCTCTTAGGGGCCTGTGGGGGTGGGGGAGGGATAAGCCCCATAGGAGGGATTTCCTATGAAAATAAAGGAAATATCTTGAATCCCTTCAAGGGACATTATGGTCACCTAGATGACCTTGAAAAGTAGATGAGCAACTGATAAGCAGGAGGATAATAACAATAGTCCTCCAAGCAAGCCGAGTCACCAGTGGTTTCCCTATGGAAACTAAAAGATAACATCTTGAATTGTTTTTCAGAAACCCCATAGGATGGAGAATGCAGGTAAGGGGAAACTGAACTCTCCCCCTGGTCTTTGTTCTAAATTTCTCCCTGAGAGGACTGGAGAAAGTCACACCCACCTGAACATTTCTTTCTGCTAAGTCAGAGAATCTCTGAATCCACCTATGACGCATAAGCCTCTGCCACCTTTTGGGGTCAAACCAATATATAATCTTCAAATATTAATTTATAATAATATGGAAAACCATTAAAAAGTTTTTTGGCTGATTTTTTATTCTTAGAGTTTATCCCATTAGGGATGTACAGTTAAGTTACTGTGTGTTGTTCCTCTCTGTGTGTCATGCTACCAACTGGATACATAGTGATGTTCATATATTTATCCTCCTTTTGTTTTTTTTAGGGATGACTTTTGTGATGTTGTGATATAATAAGAAATGTATATTTGGTTTTTGCCCCCTGTTTCTGAGATAGGATTCCTAATACCCTGTAGATAAGATTGCTAAGAGAATCTTCTTTTCCGATATTTGGTCTTTGATCAGATTCCTGACACAGAGCACATGAGACCTTTGTAATTCTCTGAATGAGAGGACTCTCTGGAGCAGAGCTCCTAAATCCCTTGGAATTTCCTGGGTGATAGGAGTCTTTTGTTCTAATGAGGCCACCTTTGGTGAGCCCCTGGATAGCCTCAGAATGGGGGCTGGTTGTCAGAGGAACCAAACCACATGATTGAAGGGTGGGAATTTTAGCCCTCCCCTCCCTCATGTCCAGGGAGCAGAGAGGGGCTGAAGGTTGGGCTGATCACCAGTGGCCAATAATGTAATCAGTCATGCCTATGTTGACGAAAAAAACGTGGTTTATACATAAGATGCTCTAATGTAGTCAATATACTCATTAATACATAAGATGTTCTAAACATGTAAAGTGTGAGTCTCTTGAAGAACAGAATGAAGTTCTACATTATTTTGATGACTTTTTTCTTTGGTGTCAGCCCGGGTTTCCTAGAATGAAACTCCATGAAAGACAGGACCCTCACCAAATCTAGTTTGTAAATGGGGTACACAAATGATAGTTGCAGGTGGAGAAAGGGGCTGGTTTTGAGAAATCCAATAAGGATTCTCAGGAGAAGGAAACTCAGGCAGCTGAAGAGGTAGTAGCAGTTAGGAGAGAGAAGACGGGTCAAAATTTGGAACCCTAGGGAAGCGTCCCTAAGGATTTAGAACTTATGTTAAGAACATTTATTTCACAATGTCTTGACTCTTGGAAAAGACTAAGTGGTTGTTCACCAAATTGTTTTCTTCTGAGAATACAACTAGACCTTATCTTCCAGGCTTTCTTACAGTGAGAGGTGGCCACATGACTGGGTTCTGAAAGAAATGAGGTTTGCCACTTCCAGGCCTGTCCCATAAAACCTCCTGTTCTCCCCCTCCTCTCATTTGCTGCCCAGATATAGAGAATCCCACGGAGGGCTCTGAGGCTCCACAGGATAACAGAGCCACGAGTTCGAAGACTCTTGGGTTCTTGAATGACTGTGTGGAGCAGAGCTTCCTCAAACGTCTCCATCGTACCGTGACAGGAGTGAGAAATAAACGTTTGCTAGGGTCTTTTGTTACAGCAGCTAGCTCACCTTGAGTGATACATAGCAGCATACTGGTATTTCTTCTGCCTCTCTGGTAGTTTCTTCTCTGTCTCCTTCCTTGAATCCTCCTCTTTCTCTAATCGTCTAAAGTGTCACCCAGGGCCAGGGCTCCTCTGGCCACTTTCCTCTGGGTCAGCAAGTGACCCTAGACCTGATCTCTCTTTTGAGCTACAGACTCTCATCTACAGCTTCTTAAGCTTAGCTGGCCTGCAGGTGCAGCGGCTTCCAAACCCAAACTCATTTTTCTTCCTCCCTCCACTGGTTCTCTCTTCTAACTCATTGTCCACTGCCACTCACTGGCCACCAGCTTCTCCTTGTCAAGCTGGCCGGGCATGTCTGTGTGTTTTCGACTCCTCCCTCCTTGTCACCGTCTACAGCAGGCAGAGAGCTGTCACTGCTCCTCTTCTCTGTCCCTCACCTCTGTCCTCAAGCTGGGTGGTGGCAGCCCCAAGCCCTCTCTTCACTGCTGCCCTCTCTTCTTCATGTTACAACACCCTGGGCTGTGGCCACATCAGCTCTTGCCTGTACTTTTGCAATTGCTGTTTTTGGAAAATTAAGAAATATTTTAAGCACATAGGGAAGTATAGAGAATAGTATAACTAATGCCTGTGCCCATCCCCCAGCTTTGCCAGACTTGAATGTTTTGTTGTATTTGGAAATGAAGAAGAAAAAGAGGATAAACTGTTCGGATCTAGGAAGTGGAAACTTATATTGTGGAAACTTATGTCGTCTCTTATGCTGTAGTAGATGGAATTATTCAGCGAACTTACTTAGCACTAAAATTTGTGTATAGTGCTGTATTTAAGCTTTTCCCCCATTTCCATGTCTAAGTGTTCCTCTATGTTGCATAAACTTCTGATGTAACAGAAACCTGATATCAGCACATACCCAAAGTGATTTTATATGCATTTTTACAGAACAAATACCATTTGGGCTGCTTAAATGCATTCATGGAACTATATATATATTTCTGTGACTATTATCATGAAATCTCAGAAAATGTGAAGTCATCTATCTCTTTATTTCTCTCTATGACTATATATGTGTATATAAATATATATGCATATATATTTATTTTATTTTATTTGTTTATTTTTTTGAGACAGGGTCTCACTCTGTTGCCCATGCTGGAGTGCAGTGGTGCAATCACAGCTCACTGCAGCCTCCAACACCTGGGCTCAAAGGATCTTCCTGGCTCAGCATCCCGAATAGCTGGGACTACAGGCATGCACCACCCCACCTGGATAATTTTTTTTTTAAGATGGGGTCTTGCTATGTTGCCCAGCTTGATACACACACACACACACACACACACATTAAAAAAAATAAATCATCACAGACATATATGAATCCCCTACCCATCTGCTGAATGTAACTGTATCTAGTTGAGATTTGAATTTCTCTGATGGCTGGGGAAGTTAGCCGTTATTTATGTACCTTTGAGTTTTAAATTTTCTGTGTTTTTTTTTTTGTTTTTGCCTAGATGCTAATTAAAAATGGCCTGTCCTTTTTATTGATTTGAATGAGATCTTTATGAATTCTGGCTCCTAACCCTTTACTGGTTCTATGCACCACAAATGCCTTCTCCCTGTCGGTGGCTCATCCTTTTACCTTACTTCTGGTGTCCACCACACACCAAGTTTTCAATTTTAATACGGTGAAATGTGTCACATTTTTTACCCTTTGCAGTTTGAGCTTCTGATGTCTTGCTCAAAAAAATCTTCCTGTGCCTTGAAGTCATAAAAACTCATGTTTTTGTGTAAACATTTTATTATTTGGCTATTCGTGTTTAGATTGATAACCCTCCTGGAGTTTATTTTTGTGTAAGACATACGGTAGGAATCTGATTTTTTTTTTCACATATGGATAGATAGTTGTATCAAACTCATAAAATATTCCCTCCTTTCTGCCTGATTCATAATGCCTGCTCATCAAATATCAAGTTTCCATATTTACGCAGATCTGTTTCTCGCCTCTGGATTCTGTTGCCTGGGCTGTTTTTCCAGTCCAGGATTGCGTGGCAATTGGTATGACCCCCTAGTAAGTTTCCGCTTCTAGTAGGGTAAGGCCATCATCTTTCCCCATGGCCTTGTTCTTCAACTTTGCCTTGGCTATTTGTCTTGATTGTTTGTTGCTGTACAATGAACTATCCCAAAACTCAGTGGCTCGAAACCACCACCAAAAGATCAAATAGGTTGGCGCACAAAATCTTTCCCTGTCGTGTCATATGTACAAAGAGCACAGAAAGCTGCCTCCAGGCCTTCAGTGGCAGCAGGAACAGCCCTCTCCCTTTTATCTGGGGCCAGTGGTGACTGGGCATCTTACCCTTGAACTCTCCAGCTGAGTCAGCTGCACCACTGCGAGCCCCTCCTACCTCCTGGAGACTTGTATCAAAAAAAAAATCATGCTCCCCCATCCTCCCTAGCACCTGCAACACTCTTCTAGCTGCAGCCAGGACTGCTTTGTATTGTCATTATTTTCTCATTCATCTACCCAACACACACACACACACACACACACACACACACACACTAAAATCTTTAAAAGAACAGGGACCCAGAGCACGGTGGTTAAAACTTCAGAGTATAGAATCTACCATTTACTAGCTGTGTGACTTTGAGAAGTTACTTAACCTCTCTGTGCCTCAATTTCTCCATCTGTAAAAATGAGGGAAAGTACTGATCTTACAGAGATGTCTGAGCCATTATTCTGTGAAATATGGCCCATAACAAGCACTCCATAAATGTCAGCTTACTAGAATTAATCTCTGTATCCTCAAGCCTAAACACAGTGACTGGCAGGCAGCGGGCACCTGTGAAAGCTTGCCTAATGAATACAGACCAGTCATAACTCTAGGAGCTCTAGGCCCGGCGAATCCGTTGGGTTTTGACAGTTTGCGAGGAACCTGGCCCCCTGGATGGCTCCTAGTGCTGCAGCCAGACCAGTGCAGGCAGGAAGCCCAGGTTGAGGAGCACATGGTGAAGCACACACTGCTCCCCAGTGGGCACCTCGTCTAAAATATAGACCAAAAGCAGAGGCACTGTCAGAGCCTGGAGTTATGAAGGACCAGAGGTCAAATGAGGCCACAGGTCAATGCCAGTGACCTTCTCAAAGCAAGGCCAGGTTGGGTGGGAGGTCAGGGTGCAGCCATTGCCCAGCCTCTAGCAGTCAGATCTGGAACGCTGGGGCAGAGACCTCAGGAGCCAGGGTGACACCCAGAGCATCGCTCTCCTTCCCTGCTCCCTGTCTCCCTCAACCTGAGTGCCTGGCCCCACAGGCCTGCGCAGTTTGTGTCCCCATGGAGCCACAGTTGGGGACAGAACCACATCCTTGACACTGGCACCCTGGGAGGTGGATGCTGGCAGCAGAGGTGTCACAGTCAGAAGTGACAGGAACTTAGCTGGCTCCCTCCTGTAGGAAGAGCTCATATTCTTGAAGACTGGCCCACCAGACCCCAAACCGCCCACCCACCCACTCCTCTCCAACCTTCACTCTCTTTCTGGCCATGATGCAGCCTGACCTGTGACCCATGTGTGGGCAAGGCTGATAGCTCATGGTGACTGCAGGCAAGCCAGGTCCTGTTTGGCAGAAACATTCACAAACCAGCTCCCTAAGCAGGAGACGGTGAGTCCCCTGTGCTCTGACTCTGCGACTCCTCATTGAGGTTCATAGAGAGGGCTGGGGCATTGCATCGGCAGTGACCTTTATGGTCACTGTTGAGAAGCGACGAATCCGCAATTATAAGCAATCGTCCTTCCCCATGGTGAGCTAGGACATCACCCTTCCACTCACCTGACCTGGAGTTCCCAGAATTCAAAGTCACTTCTTGGGAGTGCATCATGTAAAAGGAACCCTGTTTCCAGAAGGGTCTTTTGGAATGCACTTAGACCAGGCAGGAGGCATCCCCCAGGCCACTCTGCTTGCCTAAGATGCAGTCAGCAGAGAGGAGGATGGATTCTGTGGAAGGCAGACGAGCTCACGCCAGTTCTGATGGAGCTGTGTGGCTCTCACAGGGAAGGAAGCTCCCCTGCCACATTCTGCCCGGCAAGAGCCAGGGATAGGGCCAGGAGCCTCCTGAGCTATGCACCCTGCCCGCACCCCAGTGTTCCTCCTGGCAGGGTTGTGAGAATTTCATGAGTAGAAGGGGTGTTCAGATCAGGAGGCCAGAAAGGAGAGCAGTGGGCAGGTCTGGGGGGTGGGAAGTGTCCAGAACTTCCCAGCCTGCTTAGAGGACCTGAGAGGACAGTTAGACAGGGACACTCAAGGAGAGAGCCACCAGTTGGGGAACTTGCGCAATTCATCAGCATTTCATAGCCCCTGGTCAGGAAGGAAGTGATGGCCACAGAGGGAGGTAAGTTGGGTTACTCAGAGGCACGGGGTGCCAGGCCCCTATCTAGCTGGACTCTGCCTTGGTGGATCCTGGGGAGAGGAGAGGACAGCTGTTCAGAAGTTCCCCACTATCGAGTCTCAGCCCTCAGACTCAAAGCTGCCACCCTCTGATTGATAAGGACTTTCCTTTCCTTTGCTCCCCTTTCCTCATCGCCCTTGCAGGAGGGCATGGCCCCCGCTAGTTGGTAGCTGTCTTTGCACATGGAAGTCGCCCGTTGCTGGTAGAGCAGCTCTGCCCCATGTGAGCATGAGATAAATGCTCACTGCCCAGTGAATTCTGCCTTCAGTTCCCAGGCCCCTCCTCTAGGGCAGCTGACTTGGAGGACCGAGGTCCACTTCTAGTGATGCTGGCATATTCCACAGACAGAATGGGGTCAGGCATGGGCTGCAGATTGGGGAGGGTGTTGGCATAGATGGAGTCCTCAGGGCTGGCGTGGTTTAGGTGGATGAGTGAGGCATAGCAGATATTCCCAGTGTCCTCACCAGAGCCCATCTGCTGAGCAAAGCCCTGGGAATCAAAGAAGACAGAGATCCATTGTACGGATCACAGCTAGAGGGTGCCAGTGGGCCTCTGCATGCCCAGAGCTGGGAGGAGGGCAGGGACAGGGATAAAATGTGGGACAAGGCGTTGATCCTGCAGAGCCTCTGGGAACGAATGGCTGGGGAAAGTTGCTTCTGAAAGCAGGGAGCCCGCCATCACTGAACATGGTTAAGAACAGGCTAGGGAAGGACACACAGAGTGTGGGCCGTGGACTTGCAGCACCCACACCTCCCGGGAGCTTGTTAAAAATGCAGAGTTAGGCTCTACCCCAGATCTATTGAAGCGAAGTGTCTGGGGTAAGGCCCAGGAAACTCTGTTTTAACAAGCTTTTAAAGTGATTTTTATGCACACTCAAGTTTGAGTAGCATTGAGCTAGAAGAGCACTTGGAGGGATGTTGTTTGTAGAGGGGATTCCAGCATTCAAGGGGTTGGCCAAGGTTACCTTAGATCCTCCCAATCCCGCAATTCTGTGATGCCAAGAGTCTCAGATCTTTAGACTGGACAGGCCCACACAAGGGAAACTGCCTAGTCCCCAGCCCCTGCTGAGAGAGCGCCCTGGGGAGCCATGTTGTTTGCCATGTGAACCCTTCCCCATGGCTGATTGGACCAACGGCAGCCAATCCAGTCAGCCAACTTCTTTCTTTCCCTAAGGGATTCGAATTGAGAAATATGGAGAGGGGGGGATATAGATAAACCACGAGGCAGCAGAGCATCAGTCAAGTTTCGGAATAAATAGAAACTATGAGTTAAGTGCAGTCCAGGAAGTTAAAAAAGAACAAGCTGTGGTTCTCTGTGTCCCAGGGAAGGGTCATTCCTACTCACAGTGGTCTCCTCCTTCTGGACTGAAAGGTCATCGTAGATGTGGTGGGAGTCCTCCTCATCTGTGAAGAAGACAGTCAGGGTTAGGGGAGGGACCTCTTTTTACCCAACCTCCATGGAAATAAGGGGGAGGGGCTGGAGGTCCTGGCTGAGCAGAAGGGACCCGTATGGGAAAGAGGCCGGGGCTTGATCAGGGGACATGTTCCTGGCTGGGGAGGTCCCAAGTGCCCAGCAATAGTAGTATCCAGGGATGCTAAAGAGCAAAACAAACTGTGGTTCATTCATAAAACTGGTAAACTTAATTTTCACTTCCAGGTTGCTGAAAATTCCAAATTTAAACATCAAACTTACATATAATCTATTTGCTGATGAAATTATATGTAGTAATGTCTTCCAAATTTTTTGAACCAGGAACCCAAATGCAATACACAATTTAGTTACTACCACATATACAGACACACATACTCTCACACCCATATACACACTCCCACCCGCTCCTGAAAGAAAAGTTTAATGAAGCCAGGCATGGTGGCTCACGCCTATAATCCTAAGACTCGGGGAGGCCAAGACGAGAGGATCGCTCAAGGTCAGGAGTACGAAATCAGCCTGAGCAAGAGCGAGACCCCGTCTCTACTAAAAATAGAAAGAAATTAATTGGCCAACTAAAAATATATAGAAAAAAATTAGTTGGGCATGGTGGCGCATGCCTGTAGTCCCAGCTAGTCAGGAGGCTGAGGCAGAAGGATTGCTTGAGCCCAGGAGTTTGAGGTTGCTGTGAGCTAGGCTGACACCACAGCACTCAAGCCCAGGCAACAGAGTGAGACTCTGTCTCAAAAAAAAAAAAAAAAAAGAGAAAAGTTTAATGAAAAAATGTGCAAAGCATTTTGACATTTTACTCTTCTATTTTGTTTTATAAAGATGCTATTGTGATCTACTAAATTGATTTTGGACAGTTTGAAAAATATGTATATAAAAATTTATAATCCACTCCTCCCTTAGGATATTTATAGTTTGAAAAATTAAAACCAATGAGATCCAATATAACTCTGACCTGCTTACCCATTTCAATCTTGTCAATAGAAACATCTTTTGGGTATATGGTTAATAAACACACAGTACCTAAGTCCCGAACCAATCAACCAAACAAACAAAAACAGCAAGAAAGGAGGTAGGATTCATCAAAAGGGGCTAATCTGGTAAATTACTTACAAGATGCTGCAGATTTCACATTGGATTAATGCTAAAAACTTAAAACTTTGAAAATTAAAAAGTCCTTGAAGTACTTTTAGGGAGACAAAATTTTAAAATGATAGTAACAATTTAAAAAAATACCATTAATGGAAAGGTCTTTACATAAATGTGTTTTAAAAGTCTTAACTCAAAAGATGGCAGAAATACATGGTCCAAAACAGACGCTAGTACACCTAGTTTTAGGCAAATTTTCGCTGAGTTGCATTGGCTTTGAGTGAGCTGACCTCGAATCTCTGAAGAGAACTGGTCCACCCTCAGCACCGCCCAGACTGCCACTCTGGCAACGGCGAAGAGGGTCATTTGGGGCTCCCAAGGGATCTGGGCCACTTCACCTCTCGGGCCTCAGTTTCCTCACTGGTAGAATGAGCGTAACAAGCCTGTCTCCTGGGCTGCCAGGCTGCTGAATAAGTGGTCCGCTCTGAGCCAGCGACAGGGCTCACCTTTCCCGGCTCTTGCTCGGGCTTTCCTGAGGTACAGGACCAAGATGAGGACAAGCGTCAGCACCAGCAGCAGCAGGACAGCCACCACCACGCCCAGGATGATGAACTTCTGGTCGTCCGGGAGGCTTCGGAATAAGGACCAGCCGGGGGAGGAAGGTCAGAGCCCAGCCCAACCTCCTGCCCTGTTGTCACGACAGGCCCTTCCCAGCTTGCGGCCTCCCCTGAAGTCCCCTCCTGCTCAGTGACCAGGAGGCAGCCACAGGGTCCGGGGCTCTGCCCCGTGAGGCCGCGCAGTCCCCGGCAAGCCATTCCCTCTCTGGGCTGGTTTCCTCCTCCGTAAAATGGGAATGTCGGTGCTGTCTCGGGTCTTTGCCTCTTTCCCTTTGCCGACTATCGCTCCTTAACTTTCCTTCTGGGCCCTGTTGCAGGGTCTGCTCTCACCTCTCCCAGCATTCTTCCCTCAACCGTTCTCATTCCGCCTCCTTAGCCTCAGCCCTTCTCTCTGAGATGCGGACCGCGCAGAGCACTGAGCACACGGCCATCATTGACAAACAGCGCTGCCAGATGGCAAGTGCATTTTAACAGGTCCAGTCTCAAGTCAAAGGAAGAACACGAGGGCAGACTTCCTTACGCCACCTCTCAGGAAAGGCGTCTGGGCTGCCATGGGTGAAAGTGAGAGAGGAAGCAGTTTAGGGACAGCTCAGGTGACCAGCACCACTTGGTGTCTGGTTTAATCTCTTGAAGCAAGGAGCTGTGGTTTGCAAAAGCCCAGGGTTCTCGGTGTGCAGTGACAGCAGGTAGAGAGAGGGGAGGGGAGGACAGAGGCAGGTCCCAGTGCTGGGGCCGGGAAACCCTCAGGCGGGGTAGAAAGGAAAGCGGGCCCCAGGCTGTAGTAGTAACGACAGTGTGCCCTTCCCCAGACCCGCCGTGGCTCTTACGGAAAGACAGAGAAGGGCCGGAAGGGGCCAGAGGTGAAAGAGGCAGCCCTGGTCACGAGCCGGCACTGGGCTGGGCCGTCCAAATCCCCACTCTCATTTAATCTTCACTCGAACCCTATAAGACCGTGGTTCCAAACTGCAGGTGGGTGTGGCTCACACCTGAAAGTGTCTGGAGACATTTTTGGTTGTCACATCTGGGTGGTCAGGGGGAGGTTTCTGCTACTGGCACCTGATGAGTAAAGGCCAGAGACGCTGCTAAACACCCTACAGTTCCCAGGACAGCCCCCTACAACAAAGAGTTACCTGGCTCCAAATGTCAATGGTGCCGAGGATTAGAAACCCTGATGTAAGGTGGGAATGTTATTAACGCGATTTTGAAGATGAGAAAACTGAGGCTCAGGCAAAGTGACCTGCAGTGACCCGTCTGCCCTCATTCCTTCGCGTCGAGAGCTGGGACTCTGTGGCAGTGTGGTAGCTGGGGGCATGTGGCATCATCAGCAGAGGGTGGGAGGTAAAGGAGGGCTGGGAGGACAGGGGTGGGGGCGCAGTACCTCTCAGTGACAGGGCTGGTGGCAGAGGCCAGCACCGTTGTCCTCCTGGTGCTCCTGGTGCTCCTGGTGGTGGGTGGTGTTGAGGCTGTAAGAGATGACAGTGAGGGAGGAACCCTCTTCCGGCCCCTGCCCTGGGTGGGAGGCACCGCACATGGCCCAACCAAGCGAGCGCTCTGAGAAGCCCCACGTGCCCTGCAGAGGAATGGAGGCGTTGGCCGAGTTCTGCTGGAGCTGCCCACAGTGAAGGGCCACAGTATGAGTGGCTTTCAATGAAGTACCACATAGTCGCATGTGTGTTGGATACATTCTCCAGTCTCTTCTGTTTCTATTGCGTTTGAACATGTCATGCACTTTCGGCCTCCAATGGCTCCTGCACCACCGCTGTGTCTCCTCCGGATGATCCCTGCTCATCCAACAAGCTGATGTCTGCCCAGGTAGTGTCAGCGCCTCTGTGGAGTGCTCCTGGGGTGAGGGGACAGACCCCTGGCCTTGTCTGGTGACTTGACCCCTCCTTTCACTGGGCCTCCACCCAGCATGCTTCTCCTATGCCACCTACCACCTGAGTCATAACCCTTCGCTCACATCGTCTTTCTGGCTGGGCTGTGGGCTCATCCAGCGCAGAATGGGATCACAAGGTTTTCAGGCTTCCCTCCGGAGCCTACCCTGGCCCCGCGTCCTGCATGGAACCGGCAATGAAGCCCAGCAGCTGGTCTGGGTGCCCCAGGTGCCCGTGTGACCACATGGCAGGGCAGGCTTGGCAGCAGGAAGGGCCCAGGAGGTGCTGCTCAGGCCCCCGCCACCACAGGAAGACGCAGGGGGCTGGGCAGTCTGCATCCCCAGGAGGGATACCCGGGTCCCAGGATTAGAGGTACCTCCCACTTCCCATTCTGCAGATTAAGGACTGTCGCTTGTTCACGGCAGGTCCTGGGGGGAGACCCAGGACCCCTGAGCCCTAGGCAGCCACACTGCCCAGCCTCACCCCCCCAAGTCTCACGTCTCCCATCTGTGCACAGTTCTTGACCCCGTGACACTGTGACCCCACTGTATGACAGACCCCACAGCCCTGTGAGAGGAGGCTGGGGGTTAGGGGCGAGGGCAGGGATGTCCCGGAATGGGGCATCAAGCCAGCTGTGCTCAAGCATGGGAAGCTTCAATGTCATTCCAGGTAAATGGGGGAGGCCCGATAGTAGCACCTAAAATGTTAAGCGAATATGTGTGATGTGGAAGGAAGAACCAACTAGAAGCCAGCAGGCCTAGGTTCTGGGCTTATTCTGCCCTCGGGCCAGGGGCTTTTCCTCTCTGTGCCCTGGTGTCTGGCAATGAGAGGGTCGAAGGAAAGGATTTCCAGGGTCCTCTCCAGCTCCAACGCCTGTGATTCGAGATGTCTGAGACACGCACACGAGAAGGGAAAGAACTCACCTTGAGATACCACCAGACGGTGGTATGAGGTAATAAAGATCCCATGACGGTTGTAGATTCCACACGAATAGAACCCCGAGTCCTTTACCCTGAGCTCAGTCATGGTGACAGTGAAGACGCCAGAGGAGACATTGTCCTGGATGGAAAAGCGAGGCTCCGGAGCCACTGTCATGGGACTGGCCACGACTATTACACATGACTTGTTTCCTGTCCACCTGCACCAGCTTTTCCCCTGGCGACGTTGGGATTGCTGGTATGGGCAAATCACAGAGACGGTCTCACCCTCCACGGCAGACAGAATCTCTACCTTCTGTGCCCAGGAAGCTGAAAATAAAGCCTCAGGTCAGAAGCCCCCAGTCTGCCGCCACGGGGCTGGGAGGTGGGCCTCCCTCCTCAGGGGGCGATGCTCTTGTGCCTACATTCAGGTTGTGCTCCGGAGCACAGCGCTGGCCATGGCACCAACCTGTGCCCTGCCTTCCCTGCACACAGCCCCTGTCACGCCCACCTTGTCTTCCCCTGCTCTCACCTCCCCCCTTCCCTCGGCCCTCCCTTCTCCTCACCTGAGGCCAGGAGCACTAGCAGGACAGGCCATAGCAGGCATGTGGCCCCCCAGGCCATGGGTCCTCTTCTTGGGCTGGGGTGCAGGGAGGGATGTGAGGGAGCTGGAAAGCCCCAGGGACAGGGAACCAGAGCTGGGGGGGGGTCCAGTGCAGCCACCCCGCTGCGTGGGATGAATTGCCGGGGAAGGCACAGGCCTCCCTCGGGAAGCAGGCGGCCTGGGGAGGAACAGGGAGCCTATGCGGGACCCTGCAGTGGCAGGCTCTGCATCTGGGCCTGGAGGGGCCTCAGCCCTGGGACTGGACCAGGGCTCCGGAGACTCGGCTGGGCTCCCCTGGACCCAACCTCTTCCCCCTGTCAGGCCGCCTCCTCCCACTGGGAGGGGCGGGGAGCTGAGAAAGTGGAGAAGGAAACTATGGTGAAATATTGTAACTGGCTCCATAAGCAAGAAAACTTTTTTTCATAGTGTTGTGGGGGTTTTTTGTTGTTGTTGTTCTCTTCTGTTTCAAATTCCCCGGGTTAGTAAGATTTGCTGACCAGGACTTTGTAACTTTCTGTTTCACTGATTAATTTCCTTTCGAATTCCCTTTTGAGAAACCATGAAGCCTCCTTGCAGCCAGGAGATAACTACAAAGCCTCACACCACCTGTTTGTCCAGAAGGCAGGATAAACAACACCCACCACAGATTGTGCCCAAGGTACTGCTGAGCAACCTACTGCCTGTGTCCCACCTGTGCACAAGGCTGAAAGAATAACCAATATTAACCCCTAGCTCATTATACTACCAAGATCCCCACCCGGGGAGGGACCTATCCTCCATATTTTGATCATGGGATGTATGTACTAGCATGATTTCTCAACTGCGCTTGCATGACCTGCACTCCACCCCAAACATGTAATGACGTTCACCCTCCTCGTGCATTATTCGTTTCACCTCTAGAAAAAAGTCCTGACCCTGTTGGTCAGGGAGGCACATTTGAGGCAGTCGATACCCACCTCCCAGCTGACTCATCTCCTGCAATAAATCCTTGCTTCTTTGACAATCGTCATTGTCTCGGTAATTGGCTTTCTGTGTGGTGAGCAACAGTGAACCCCTCTGTGGGTTCGTTAACAATATTTCTCCTCTCTCTCCCCAGCCTGAAGTTTCTCCTTCTCACCCAAGACAAGCACAGGCTGGAAGGCGAGTGACAGAGTTAGGGGAGTTCTGATCAGAACCCTAACCTGCTGGCCCCAGTGGTCAGAGGCTTCATGCTCAGTCTTGCCTGGGAACTGGGAGGTCCCATGGGGGCAGGAGGGGAAAGGAGATGGAGACATATTTGCAGGAATGGAGATGCAGGGGGTGGTCCCTAGCAAAGGCAGGAGACAGCAAAGCTGGCAGGGGAGAGGGGAAGGTAGGTACAGATGGAGAGAAGAGGAGGTGGGAGGGGAAAGGGAGTCTCAGCCCCCAGATCATCCCCTCCCCCAGCTCCCAGCTGCCACAGTCACTCCATAAACATCTGGTGAAAAACCACATGAATCAAGCATATTGAAAAAAAAAATTGTCATTAGATGAGCTACAGAAAATCAATAGTCACAGGCTGTTTATAGTTACTGAATAAACAACAAAGAAAATTAAAAAAAAAAAAAAACAGTAAAAACACAGTGCCACAGCTTGTGTTCCTGGGTGCATATTAGCACTGGAGGTTTTATTGTTTGTTTTTTTGTTGTTGTTTTGTTTTGTTTTGAGACAGAGTCTCACTCTGTTGCCTGGGCTAGAGTGCCGTGACGTCAGCCTAGCTCACAGCAACCTCAAACTCCTGGGCTCAAGCAATCCTTCTGCCTCTACCTCCCGAGTAGCTGGGACTACAGGCATGTACCACCATGCCCGGCTAATTTTTTCTATATATTTTTAGTTGGCCAATTAATTTCTTTCTATTTATAGTAGAGACGGGGTCTCACTCTTGCTCAGGCTGTTTTCGAACTCCTGACCTCAAGCAATCCGCCCGCCTCAGCCTCCCAGAGTGTAGGATTACAGGTGTGTGCCACCGCGCCCGGCCAGCCCTGGAGGTTTATTTAGTTTTATTTATTTAATTCTATAGAGACAGGGTCTCACTCTGTCACCCAGGTTCCCACCTGGGATCAAAACTCACTGTAGCCTCGAATTCCTGGGCTCAAGTGATCTTCCTGCCTCAGCGACCTCCTGAGTAGCTATGACTACAGGCATGCGCCACCACACCCAGCTAACTTTTTTGTTTTTACTTTTTGTAGAAACAGGGCCATCCTATGTTGCCAGGCTGGTCTCAATCTCCTGGCCTCAAGTGATCCTCCCGCCTTGGCCTCCCAAAGTACTCAGACTATAGGTGTGAGCCACCGCCCCTGGCATAGCACAGGAGGACTCTGGGGACCACCATTTGGGGGAGACAAGGGCAGGAAGCAGCATGGGACAGAAGGGGAAGCGGGGCTGCAATGTAGGCCATGGGACAACTCAGGCCACCTTGGGAGGAGTTCCGAAGACGAGATAGCCCCGCAGGACTCGCCAAGTTGGCAAGGCAGTGTTGAGACCCACCCCTTGTCAATCAGTCAGGAGAGGTGTGGTGTCCTGGGCAGGGGTCTGGCCTTGGCAAGGTGGCTCTCTGCAGCTGAGGGAGCACCCAGAGGGGCTGGCGGAGGAGGCCTGTGCCCTCACCACTCCCAGCATCCCGGCAGGAAGCCCGTCAGTCCCGAATGCGGAGCTGGCGGCCCGGTGCGGCATCCACCCACTCAGCTGGACGCAGAGTGAAGAGCGCGTTCTGCAGCCACCTGGGAGAACGGTGGGCCTCGTGCTGCTTGCCGGGCTCCACGGAGGGGCGTGTGCCTCGAGCGGGTGCTGCATTTACTGCATTTGCTCTTTCCTTCGGTTGTGACCGCAGGCCCTTTGCAGATGTGCTCCGTCTCCACAGCCTGCTGCTCAGGAAGCTTCGTGGCCTCACCCACTAAAGCGAGCAGCCCCCCAACACCCATCTGCCCTGCACCTCCCTCCCCTGGGTCCGCTATGGATCTGGGTCCCCAGGAGCCTGGGGAAGAAAGGCAAGATAGGAAGGAGGAAGCGAGAGGCTGTGGTCTTGAGGAAAATGTCCAGGGGGAACCGGGCTGTGGGGTCTATAGCTGCTCGGCACCCTGTGTCCTTAGCACAGGGTCCACGTGGGAGCAGGCTCCTAGGGGGAGCCACGAGTGCTGGTTCGCTCAGTTCCAGAAGCCCCTCATCTGGGCAAATAGGGACTGCTGGTCACCCTCTCAGCTACCCTGCCTAACTTCAGGACACACCAAAGGCCTCTGCTTGGGTCCAGCAACCTCCACCTGGGGCCCGGTCACATCCCCTCCTGTGCCTCCCCATGGCTCCCAGCTACCGTGGCCTGTGCAGTCTCTGCACGTGCGTTCTTGGAATCTCCCTCAGGGATGTCGCCTCCTGACCCCAACCCATGCTTCAAGCCTCAGACGAAGCCCCACCTCCTCCATGAAGCCCACCTGGCTGGCCGTAGCCTGCAGGGTCCCCAGTGCCCCATCTCTGAAGGACTGTCCTGCACCATGGCGTCTGCCCCTCTGCTAAGGTCTGGGTGTGCCCAGTCGGGCCGCGTCTCCCTTCCCTCAGGCTGGGAGCAGACAGGCCAGGCTGGCTCCCTCTCCCCCGGCATGTCCCGCCTCACTCCACACCGCATGTGCGCACGTGACTGTCCCGCACACGCTGTGGGCTGGGAGGGATGCAGAAGGGGCAGCAGAGCTCATCTCCTCCTCCCTTTCCAGATGAGGAAGCAGGGTCAGAGAGGGACAGTGACTTGCCAAGGTCACACCGACAGGAGCCCATCCCGTACCCACCCCTGCACAAGACAACCTCACCAAAGGGGCTGCCGTCGGGGGCCCCCAACATCCATGCAGTGAGGAAACTTGGGGAGAGAGAGGACAAAATGAAGAAAGGATCCTGAGGTCTTAAATGCGATGTGAGAAACAGCGCTGGTACCGGAAAGAACTTAGGGAACAATAGCAAAGATGCATCAGCTTGGCTGTACAACGTTCATGTAATTTTGTTCTGTCGGAGAACAATACTGAGAGGCAGGAGTTGTTGTCTCCTTTTGCAAGAGAGGAAAACTGAGGCTGAGACAGGGGGAGTGACTTGCTGAGGGTCACACAGTGACAGATGACATCCCCATTGTCATCCCTGACTCCTTCCCCAGTGCTCCTCCCCCCGGGCATCTGGCTGACAGGAGAGGCAGGGCTGGCAGTGGTGCTGCTGCAGGGTCACACGTGGAGGGAGCTCCCGGGGAGCTATTCCGTCCAGGACAGTTAAGCCCCCTCCTAACTGCACCCCAGGGTGGTGGCCACACTCTCGGGATAAGGAGAGCAGCTTTCTCAGCAGGTTGCTTGCTGATCAGATGGATGTCAGTGTGTGTGTGTGTGTGTGTGTGTGTCCATTCCACAACCGGAGTCTTTCCTCTACTGCCCTCTCCTGGCCATAGGGAAGAGGGCCCTCTTCCCTGCTGTGCCCAGGAATACCCGCTGCCCCTTCCTGTCCCCTCATCCACCCTGCAGTGGCCACCGGGCTGCCCACCAGGGCCCCGGCTGCATCACTCTCCTGACTGTGGTGTTTTCTCTCCCGCTGGGAAGTGCCTGACTCACAGCTGAGAGTTCGGATGTCACATTTATCCCCAGGGGCTACTGCAGCCCCTCCAGGCTGCTGGACACTGCTCCCTGGGGGAGGAGTCCAGGCTGCATCCTCCACCTTCACTTTGGACACCGACCGGGCAGTGGTCTGAGCAGCGGAGGTCAAGTCTGAGCCATGAGGCAGTAGGCACGAGGCAGACTCCTTGGGCCACTGGACTCCCCGGCAGAGGCTAGTTGGGCTTGCTTCTTCCTGCTCCTGCCTAGGCTGGTCCTCCAGGTCACGCTCGGCTCCAAGTTGTCTTTGGTGTGTCACACATGTATCTTCTCTCCCCAGGGGACAGTGAGCCCCTGGGCAGTGGGGTGAGAGTGATCCACTCTTTCTCTGAGCCATGGCCTCCCCACCAGTGCCTGCGTGGCGAGCGCCCTCCATACAGAGCCAGGGTCTCGGCCACCCCAGGGTGGGGACCAGGCTGGGCCCTCGGTCCCCTCCAGGAGCTCAGACCTGGACCCCAGGTGCAGGAACTGGAAGAGAGAGCCTCGAATTCAGCCTCTGCACCCTTAGGAGGAGGCGGGGAAGAGGCTGACCCTGCAGCTCAGGGGCTCTTATCTGCCTGGTAGGTCACAGCTCGTCCAGGAGGGGCCGGCCAGCAGGAGGCAGTGATGAGAGAGTGGGCTCTGCAGGCTCCCAGGGCAGGAGGACAAGCAGCCACCCTCCGGGCGGGGTGCATCCAGAGGCCCCATCAGGGGACACTTGATGGACAGGGAGAGCCTTGGACAGCTTTGGGATCCCCTGCTGCCAGCCCCTCTGTGGGTCCCCAGCTCTTAGTCACTGTCCTTCTCCTCCAGGACATCGGCTACCTCTGGGGCCCCTGAACCCCAACTCTTTCTCCCCTCAGTGTAGGGAAAGCCTGAGGGGATCAGGGGGAAGCCAGGGACACAGGGCTCCTGGCTGGGAGAGGGAAGCTCTAGCTGCACCCCCTCCCCCAGCTTGCTAGTAAGGGGCGCTGAGGCAGACAGGAGCTCGGGTCTCTGTAAACAACACTTCCAGGGCTTCTCTGCCACCCACCAGGGCCCTGGGGTCTGGGGCTCAGAGCAGAAACCTCTTGGACGCTTTCCCCAGGACTCCTGCCTGCTGCCCGCTGCTCTGGGTCCCTCCCCACATTCCTGGCAGCACAGGAGAACTCTGAGCTCCTGGCTGCTGGCCCCGACACAAGTGGGGTGCAGCCTCTGGTTCTGGGAGGGCCTGGGCGATTCCAGCACTGTACGAGCCCTCCAACCCCCCAATCCAGACTGGCCCAGGTCTTCCCCCTCCTCTGGCTTCCAGGGGCCCCTCTGGGAGAAGCTCCCCACCCCATCGTTAAGTGGTCTCAGACCAAGCAAGCTTCCACGGAGGCTCTGGTCGTCTAGGTGGGTCCTTCCAGGGTCTAGCAGGATCACTGCGAATGCTGTAGCCTACAAGGAACAGGGAGAGGTGAGGAAGGGCCGTCCCCTGCTCACAGTGCCCCACGCTCCAGCCTCTTCCTGGTTCTGCCTTTGGTTCCTGCCAGGTCATCCCCTTAGGGTTATGCTGGGCCACCTGCCTGGCCACCCTCCTCCCTTGCTGGGTGCCTCCCAGTCCTCTTGACTGGACACAGGCCAAGGGACACCCCGCTAGGGACTCAGGGCCACAGCCCTTAATGCTGTCACCCAGAGGTCTGCCCCCGGGAGGCTGAGAGGTGGCCTCTACTCACTTCCCACGTGTCGCTTCTTCCAAAGCCCATAGACCACGACCAGCATCACGGGCACCAGAAGGAAGGTCAGGCCCATCACCAGCACAGTGGGGTAGAAATCCTGGTTCCTGAGGAGAAGGGACAGAGTGGCAGGAGGTGAGCACCAAGGGCCTCCATCCTGACCCCTGCCTCCCTACAGGCCACACGAGAGGGGTCGGGCCAGGGGACAACGCCAGCAGCAGAAGAAGCCCTGACAGCACTCGCCTCCAGAAAGACGGCATCTCTTCCTCGGGGACCCAGCTGCAGGGCAGGACGTGCCCAGGCAGACGGGAACATCGCCCCAGCTTGGTGCCCCTCCTCCCTTATGCCCCCGAGTCTGCTCATCGCCGAGGACGAGGATTCTAGGAGACGCCCACGTGTGACCGAAGAGATCAAGTTTCCTGCCGTCCTCAAAGTGACTGAGGACGCCCCTTCCCCACTGTGTCCTCTGTGGCAGAGGCTGTAGGTGCCCCGCCTGTGGCCCCAGTTCCCTCGCTGGGGTCATTTCTGTGTACACAGGTCACCAGCACCCCTTGTTTGGTAAGGGGGAGGGGCGAGGACTTTCTCCTGTCCTGGAGCCCTCTAAGCCACACACAGGCAGCTCCCGGCCACCAGCCGACAGGAGTGGTGTGTAGCCACCTGCTCACTTGTCCTTCGGAGTGTGTTTGACACTGGGTCCCAGTTTCCCCAGGGGATTAGGATCTTGTTGCACTCAGCGGTAGCTGGTTTGACTAAAGACTCCTTATTGCCTGCCTTTGCTTCCCTGTCCTACTTCCCCACCCTCTTTGCGGGGTTCCAAATGAGATGCAAATCCTTGTCCCAGAGACGGCTTCGCTAGTGGGACACAATTAAAAGTGCCTCCAGTTCTCACTTCCTCCTCCCAGAGCCACATACTCGTCTTGTTCCCACCTTCTCCTTTCTATCAGCAGCCTCTTCGGGGGAACCAACTCTGACCCTGATGCCCTTGACCCTCATCCCCCTGAGCCTCATCCCCCTGACCCTAACTCCCTGAACCTCATCCCCCTGACCCTCATCACCTGACCCTAACCCCTGACCCTTGACCCCACCCCCCAACCCTCATTCCCCTGACTCTCATCCCCACTGCCATCCGCTATGGCACTGCCAGTCTCCCACCTCCCACTCACAGTAGAACACGCTGTGTTCCTGGGGAGCCAGAGGGGAAGGGCAGTCATAAGATTTGCACTTGAGTTTCTTTCAGACACCAAGAACTGTGCCATATCTGGCAAAATCTCATCGACCCCCAGCCCCACAGGTACCTGAGGGAGGGAAATTTGTCGAGAGATCTGCTGGTGTGGCACATCACTGTCACTGGCACTCTGGTGCCAAGGTGCCCAGACTCGGAGGAGATGGATTCTGAGCCCACAGAGGAGGCCCCGGCATTGCGGGGAGGTGCAGTCGCTGTCTGGCCCCCCGCGGTCCTCCTGGGCCCCGTGGTGGTCAGGCTGGCACCCGTGAAGCTGTAGCCTGGCATGGAGGTTGGGCTGGAGGAGGGTAAGAGTCTGGCCAAGGTGAGGATCCCAGGGGTGAAGCCCGTCCTGCCAGTGGCGGAAGGCACATCGGGGCCTGAGGAAGGGGCTTGGCCTGCTGCGACGATTCCACTCTTGAAGACGTCAGCCAGATGTGTGAGGGGGGTGCTCCTCTCAGCTGCGGAGCCTGAAGGACCAGAGAGGGAGGGACGTTAGCCTGACTCGGGGGCCTCGGTGCTTGGAGCAGATCCCGGCAGCCCACACAGCTGTCTGGATGCTGGAGTGGGGGCCTGTCCTCCTCTTTTCTCCTTGACCTTGGACCTAGGGTTCTGCTCTGCCTCGTGACCAGGGTTCAGAAGGCGATGCCAGGAAGGAAGGAGTGGGCATGGTGAGGAAGGGAAAGACTTTCACAATTTCCTTGGCCTCTCACGTCAGGCCATCTGGTCCCGGGCGACACCCCCTCCCGGTTCCCATCTCTCTCTTGTCATTTTCCAGACTCTCTTCATTCTTTTGGGCCAAGGAGACCTCTATAAAATGCTGTTGAACAGGGACTTCTCCAGATACTCCATATTGGTGGTTAGGGTGCAGAGATGAGGACTACAAGGCATCAAGGGCCCCAGATTCTGAAGAAAGCTGCAAACACTGGAGCCAGACACCTTTCTTGCAGGATCCCTAAGATACATCCCCTGCTACCCTCATCCATCAACCCAGCACTTTACCGCCCTGTTTTCTGGAAGAAGCCTGGAGTTTGGGTATAGACAAGGGGGCAGTCTTAGGAGTGGCGATGCACCACCACACAGCAGGGAGTGTTGGCTCTGTCTCAGCAGGAAACACGGAAATTGGAGAGAGAGGCTGCCGCAGGATGCTGCATCAGACTATCATGCATGCTAAGGATACTTTCTTGAGGGCCAGATGGTCACCATGGAAGATGGCTGAGTTTCAGGACAAGCAGCACTGGGGGTGGGGGACAGAAGCAGAGGCAGACCCGGAGCCAGAGCTCCCACGTCACCATCCTCAGCAGTGGGGACACCCCCAGCAAGCCCTGCAGAGAACCCACACAGCTGTGCCTTGGACAGCATCTGCACGCTCACCTCCGAGAGGCTCTCAAAGGGCTAGGAGAAAAGGAACGGCATCCGACAGAGAGGACGACTAGAATGGCCAGTTAAGTCACACAGCCATTTCCCTCTCCCTCATTCCTGCATCAGCACACCGAGGTGTGTGGGAGGGGGAGGACCAGGAGGAGGTGACTGGGAGGACCCCACATTCCTCATCTCCCCAGATGAAAGAGTGGGAGCTGGGCACCACTTCAAGCGCCTTGGGCCATACACCCTGGTCTTCCCGGAGCAGTGGAAAATCATGTATTGCTGGAAGATCAGAGCTTGTAATTGGGCTGAGGATTTTTTATTTCCTTAATAACTGTAAAGGTCTGCAAACTTGGAATCTCCACAAATTGTACTTAAGATGTGGAAAGTGAGACTTGACATGGCATGGTTGGGGGAAATGATGAGAGAAAATAAGACCATTTCACATTTGTATCCCTACAAATGAAGGCTTCAGTGAGCCCATTTCGACTCCTTCCCTGGGTCTAAATCAGAAGTGGAGAGGGGAGGAATGGGATTTGGCCCACATTTCAGAGATGGCCTTTTCCCTAGTTCAGACGCGACAGGAGATGGGGATACAGTTGAGTTAGGGGAGCGGGGTGCACAGCAATCCCATAATAATTGGCTTCTTTTTTCAGGCTCTTCTGCTGACTCCCTTTCCTAACTTACAAATGTGGGAGGACTTCACTGCTCGGTTCTTGGTCCTCCTCTCTTCTCTTCCTACACTCAGGGAAGAACTTTTATACCCTCTTGATTTTTAAAACAGCTCTATTGAGATACAATTCACATTCCCTACAATGTACTCATTGACAGTATAGAGTTCAATGGTTTTTTTAGTATGGTCACAAAGTTGGGCACCCATCGCCACAGTCAATTTTAGAACATTTTCACCACTTTGCAAAGAAACCCCTTGCTATTAAGCTATTACTCCCTCGTCCTCTTTTCTTTCTCCCAGTCTAAGAAACCACTATCTGCTTTCTGTCCCATAGATTGCTCTAATCCCTGGATGTGAAACACTGTCTCTGTGGAGATACTTTCAAATACGTATCTCAGCTCTGACTTCTCACATGAGCTCCGGGCTGGTGTACCGACTGCTTGCTTCCTTTCTCCACTTAGGGTCCTAGGAAGCATCTTAAACTTAACACAATGAAATAGAGCTCTCGATTTTTTTCCCTCCAGAATTAGCTCCAGTTTCAGATTTACCCTCTTGGGTAAATGGTACACTCACGCACCTGCTGGCGAGCTAGGAAACCTTGGAGTTACCCTCTCTGCTCACCTCCCATGGGAGAAAAGCCTGTCCTACCTCGAAGGCGTACATGGCGGGCAGCAGGTCTGAGAAACACAGATGGAGCCCGGCCACTTCCCTCCACCTCTAGTGCCTTCATCCTACCCCAAGCCCCTGCCATTTCCAGCCAGACACTCACAATGGTTCTCTCTGTCCCCAGCTCATACCTTCCATGATCCATCCTCACCCCGCAGCCACTGTATCCTTGCAACAAGTGGCAACACGCCTCTCTAAGCTCACCGACAGCTTCCTCTTGTACTTAGAATCAAACCCAAACAACATCTCATGGTCCCAGGGCTCCTGATGACTCTCCAGCCTCATCGATCACTGCCCCACAGTCCACATGGAGCTGCCACACACCCTTCCTTAGACAGGCCACCCTCCTTCTCACCTCGGGGCCTTTGCACATGCAGCCGTCCCTACAGACAGACTATCCCTCAACGCACCCGGATTTCAACACGGCTAGAGAACTCTCACCACTCGGGGCCCTGCTTGATGTCATCTGCTCAGGAGGGGTCCTCGGTTCTACAGCTGCTCCCCCATCACTGAGTTACTTTCTGGTTCATCATGCTGTTTTCTGTTCTGAACATTTACTGTTCTCACAATTATTTTTCTGGATGACGTGCTAGTGCCTGCCATGTCCCGCAGGGCAGGACTGTGTCTGTTTTTGCTCACACTGCATCCTCAGCGCCTGGAATGGTGCCTGGCACATCACAGGGGCTCAACCAGAACATGTTGAACTGATGACTGAATAAAACAAAGCATGGACAGTGACGCGTGTGAACCTCATCTCGGCCACCTGCTAGTTCCGTGACCCTGGACAAGATCAGAGCCACATAGGTCTTTCAGGTCCTATATTTTTCATCTGTAAAAGGGTCACAATGATGCCACAAAGGTGTCTCTAATGGTACTTTGAAAAATCCCATGGTGTAATATGACCACCGATGGATTCTTCTTCTTCTCATATCTGCTTTCAGTGGGCAGGGAGGACACCCCCACCCTCACAGGGCCCCGGCAGTCCCACTCACCTGGAGAAACTTCCAGCTGGATGCCCATCAGAGGGTAGAGGGTGCCGGAGGTGTTGCGCATGCACCAGTATCGGCCTGAGTCCTGGCTCTTGAGGGCCACCATGGTGATGTTGACCACCTTGACCTGGGCATCATCCTGCAGCAGGTAGCGAGGCCCCTTCACCCAGGCCCGGGTGAACCCAGGCTCACACCGCTTCCTCCTGATCTTGCACCAAACCTTGCCCTCCACGCGGTTCTTGTAGCCCTTGTAGGAGCACTGCACAGACAGCGTCTCCCCTTCAAGGAGCTTTACTTTGGTGTATGCGCTCTCTGCCGGGAGACCTGGGGAGACACGACTGTGAGCAAGGTCTGGAGAGAGAGGAGGAAGAAGGCATCTTGCAAGGGGAGGATCGTGGTGAAGGGAGAGGAGGTGCACATTGCCCTGCTGTCATGGACTCAGAGTTTGAGGGGGAACAGCCCTACCCTAGGGAGCACCCCCAATCTAACGGGGAGGTACCCGGGCCCTGCACACATCTAGCTTTCAGAATTAGGGGGGAGACGCAGGCCCCTCCCTCAGGGAGCTCCCCGTCTGGTGGAGGAGATAGGCATGTCCCCGAGGAAGTCCCCGGGCTAACAGAGGACACTCAGCCCTTACACTCGGAGCTGACCAGACACAGCCCATTCTTCACGGCCTTTCTAGTCTGATGGGAGACGGGTAAGCTCTGTCCCCAGGATCCCCAGTTTTGTGGGAAAGACCCACATCCTGCCCCCAACGAGGCAGATGCACAGACACAAACATACATCGTTAAGTTCTGAAGTTTCAGAGCCCAAACAACGTAGGTAGATAAGAAAATCCATTTTTTGAAAAAAATGACAAGGAATTATTTCTTTCACAAATAACTTCACTGTAGTCACCCTTGAAATGGCAAGCTGCCTTAGTTCATTCTATAATGGGTGGTGTTTAGCTTTAAAATATTCTAGTTACATAAAACCCATTCATTAAGCCCGCCTCCATGTACCCATAAACTCTCCCAGGGGAGTGGGAACCAAAGGACTCTACAGTTATTCACTTTCCACCTACTATAACTGGCACTCTGTGCCGAGGACCAAAATGCGGTCCGTGTCCTCCACAGTCTGGAAGAGAGAGCGCAGACTCTGTCTCCAGCAGACTGGGGGGAGGGGACTCAGGGCACAGAGAGAGGGAGGAAGGTGCTGTTGGGTCCCTCCCCCTCCGCCCCGCTGTGAGCTCAGCGCTTACTCTTCTGATAACTTCACCCCAGAGCCTGCCACAAACACACACATGGAAACTTCTCCCCCTAGTATGGAACAGAGAGCACTCATTTTAGAGTCATCGTAAACATGGGTTAACACGCTGTTTCTACCACTCAACCGTGTGAGAAGATCACCTCTGTTTCTTTATCTGTTTCACCTCTGTTTCTTTTTTCTTTTTTTTTGAGGCAGAGTCTCACTTTGTTGCCCAGGCTAGAGTGAGTGCCCTGGGGTCAGTCTAGCTCACAGCAACCTCAAACTCCTGGGCTCAAGCATTCCTTCTGCCTCAGCCTCCCCAGTAGCTGGGACTACAGGCATGCACCACCATGCCTGGCGGCTAATTTTTTCTATATATATTAGTTAACCAATTAATTTCTTTCTATTTATAGTAGAGACGGGGTCTCGCTTTGCTCAGGCTGGTTTTGAACTCCTGACCTCGAGCAATCCGCCCTCCTCGGCCTCCCAGAGTGCTACGATTACAGGCGTGAGCCACTGCGCCTGGCCACCTCTGTTTAACCTTTCTGTTTCTTTATCTGTCACGTGGGGACACTACCCCTCCCCTCCCCAGTTGCTGTGAGAATTTTGCCCCCGGACAGTGCCTGGAACACAGTAGGTACTCAACGCATGCTTCCTTTCCCAAGTGCAGGTGGCTCCAGACTTCCCTGCTGGAGCCCAGAGCTCTGACAGTCCAGGGCCCAGAACCGGAGACACCTGTCCCAGGTCACACCCAGCATGCACTGTAGCTGAGGCTCTGAGGAAGGCCACGCCCCCTCTGAGCATCACCTTGTCCCTTGCAAACTAAACAGAATGGTCCAACTCAATTATTTGGTGGGTGAGCCCAGGAATCCTTAGCAGAGGAGAGACCCCCTCCCACCTGGCAGAGAGAGTGGCCTCTCCACCCTCTGGGGAGCCGCAGAGGTGGGGTGACTTAGGATGGGTCTCCAGGGACTGTATCTTATGTGCCTACTTCTCCCACCAACGCTCTCATGGGCGGTGGGGAGTGGGTTTGCTAACCCCCACCATGCCCACAACCCAACAGGAAGTGGTAACTTGGTTGCCATAGCAGCAAGAGGGGGGCAGGAATGGGTGAGTCCCCCTCAAGGGGCATTAATAGCCGTGGGGGGTGGGGGGACACCTTCAGGGATTGGTCCCTTCAGGACAGGGGCAGGGACAGGATGTGGCATCAGCATTCCGAGAAAAAGCAAGTTCAAAGCGGGCACGTGATGCAATGACCCCTCTCAGAGCGAGTTCAAAGCGGGCACGTGATGCAATGACCCCTCTCAGAGCCAAACTGGGCTCCCCTGGGGGAGCCCAGCTATGTGTGTGAGGAACCCGAGTGTCCCTGCTTGGAGGGCCTGAGGAAGGCTAGCAGATAAAGGGGCCAGTGCAGAGGGGTCCAGAGCTTTATCGCAGCGTGGGAGGCCTGGATTAGCGTGACCTGGGGCCCGATATTAGGCCCGAACCTTCTCGCTGGCCTCTGGTACAGAGCTGCCAAGTCAGCCCCATCTCCTCCCCTCCCCCAGCCCACAGAACATCAGGCAAAATAACCCTGCGAGGGGCAGGGAGGGACGGCGCCCCGCAAGGCCCTGCGCTCCTGCCCCTGGCCGGCGCCCTCCCCCAGCCCGGCTCCCGCTCACCTGAGACGCAGCCCTGTAGCCATAGCAGCAGCAGCAGCAGGGTCGCGGGGGGCATGGCGCCCTCTGGTTGGGGTGGTCACACGCCCAAGGTGGTCACACGCCCAAGCAGCCCGGGGATCCAAGGGTAGGCCAGGCGGGCACAGGACAGGCCACCTGGCTGTGCCAGGAGAGGACCTGCGGTTCTAAAAGTGAAGTTGCCCATTTAGGGAAGTGAGGCGGTGTGGGACCCGCCGCCCCGCAGACCGCAGGGGCCGCAGAGCCTATCTGGAGGGCGGCGCCCACAGTTGTTTCCGCCCTTTTCCCCAGAACTTCAGGCAGGTGCGGCCGCTCCACCCAGCCTGGGGCCTCCCGCCCGGGGAGCTCGCAGAGTCGGGCCCCTGGCCTCCCCTGAAACCCGCCCCCAGGACTGTCTGCAGACGGAGGCAGGGGACCCAGCTAGTGGGCTGGGGCGGGGTTTCTGGAACCTCGGGGGCAGATTTTCCGGAATCCTCCAGGCTCGGAGACCCAGGGGCGCTCAGGCTGAGTGTCTTGGCCCCAGTTTTTCACAGACGCGCATTCACAAGGAAGTTCTCATTCATTCGTTCATTCATTGCCCCTGCATTCGTCCTGTTCCTTTCTCTGTCTCTCTCAGACTCCGGGCTGCTCAGAACAGTCACTCGTGTTCACTGTTGCGAATAACCTCTCGCAGGCTCACCTGCACTGTACTGTGCCACAGAGCGAAAGACCCAGATGGTGAGACTCAGAGCATAAAATTTGGGCTCAGGGAGTTTCCTGTGCTCTCCCACGAGAGTGCACGCACATGCACACACTCAAACACAGTGTGTCTCTCTTTCTCTAACTCACACACACAGTCTCTCTCTCTCTCTCTCTCTCTCTCTCTCTCTCTCTCTCTCACACACTCACACACACACACACACACACACACACACAACCGAGCTGCCTCTCCTTTTCCCTATCCATGTCTCCTGTCTCTGTCCCTCTCTCCTCTTGTCTCTACTCACCGCCAGCTCTGTCTACACTCCTAGTGCCTCGTCCAGGCTCCCTAACGCCACTGCAAGGCTTCCCCTCACCCACCACTTCCAAGACACCACGTCCCCAGGGCCCCTTCCTCCCAGGGCTCTGGCACTCGCCAGCACACAGGCATGTCCCCTCCACTTCCTCCCACTCAACCCTATCTCTCCTCTACAGCCACCCGGCTCCAACCCAGGACCCCACCCTTCACTGAGGCCCCAGGGCTCAGAATCAAAAGGAATGATTTCTGATGTCCATCAGCTGTGTCACCTGCTCCTTTGGCATGTGGGAACCCAGGTGGACCCCCAAGGCTATGTGTACTCCCCCTACTCACCTGGCCACTCTTCCTCTCCTTAGATGGGACTGCCAGAAAGTAAACTGAGGCACAATAAAATAATAAAGGAGTTACTTGAGCAAACAACAATTCATGAATTAGGCAGCTCCAAACCAGAAGTGGCTCAAGAGCTCCACTGAAGGAACCCAAGGAGGAGGCAGTCACAGGACAAGTAAATCAAAGAAAATATTTAATTGGTCACAGTTACACAGTTCCCTTCTTTGATCTACCCCATTGGAAAGACCCTAGTTACACAACCATAAACTTGTTGGCTACTTCTGATTGGTTAAGCTTAGTTTCTGTTATTCCTAGATATACACATTTAAAAGAAATAAGCTTAAGTTAAATTTCACTTTTGTTTGCTAATTCATTCAGGGTTGAAAACACTTATGAGGCCTACCTTGTTTCATCTGTTCAGAGATTCTTTGGGCCTGATCTCTGTTTTAATTTACTTTAGCAGGACTCAGAGTAAACAGTCTGCAAGCTTGCACGGCCACAGTCTTAACCTGACCTTGAACCCTCAAATCCCAAACCAAAGAAGTTTTCTCTGGGCTGACCACAAAACTTTTGTAGTCTTCTAACTCATTCATTCATTCATTTGTTCGTTCCCATTCCTCATTGCTGTTCATGGAGTTAAGTCAGCACAGGGGATACAGGAATGAGATGCAATTGTCAGTTCAGACCTCTAAGCCCACAGAAGGTGTGTTATGTTTTCCTTCTTCACCATTCCTTTTTCAACGCTTCTCACCAAATCCTCAAAACTTCCTCAGGTCACTGAGTTCACAAGCTAGATCCCCTCCCCAACGCACATAGCGTCTTTCTTCACCCCTTCCCTCTGCAGAACAGTAGCTGGCTTCAGGAGTAGGGGATTTCTCTCTTACAGAGACTTTGTGTGCCCGGAATCAATGCTTCTGTTAAACCCTTACATAATGTTTTCAAGGTCCATCCATGTTGTTGCAGTACTTGCTGTATTAGTACCTCATTCCTTTTGATGATAATATTTCATTGTATGGATATATTTTTGGTTGTCCATTTATCAGTGGATAGACATTTGATCTATTACCACTGTTTGGCTGTTATGAACAGCTACTATAAACATTCATGTAGAAGTTTTTGTGTGTGAGTGTGTTTTCATTCCCCTTGAGTACATAACAAATAGTAGATCGCCCGGGTCCCATAGCAACTCTGTTTTCCATTTTGAAGAACCACCAAATAGTTTTCCAAAAGGTCTGCAACATTGTACAATATGTCACCTGTGATATGTGAGCGTCCTCATTTCTCTACAAACTCTCCAATGTTTGTATCGTCTTTTTGTTTATAGCCATCTTAGTGGACGGGAAATTTTATCTTGTGGTTTGAATTGTGTTTATCTATCAACTAATGATGTTGAGCATCGTTGTATGTGGTGTTTGGTCATTTGTATATCTTGAGAGAGATGTCTATTTGAATCCTGTACTCATTTTGAAGTTGAGTTATTCATCTTCTTAGCGTCTGAGAAATGTTAGGCCACATCATTCCGACTTTCATTGTTTCACAGGAGAAATTCACCGCACTTGGAATGGGCATTCCTTCACATGTAGTCAGTTCTCTCTGGCTGTTTTTAAGGTATCTTCTTTGTCTTTAGTTCTCAGAGTTTATTTATGTTGTGTCTCAGTGTGTATTTCTTTGGCTTTATTCTATTTGAGATTAATTCAGATTCTTGGATACATAGGTTTATGCCTTTTCCCAAATTTGAGAGGTTTTAAGCCATTTTTTATATGTTTTCAGTTCAACACTGGGATGCCTTTCCTTCTGGGACTCTGATGATGCCAAGTTAGCTCTTTTTTAAATGTCTCAGATTGCTGAGGTTCTGCTCATTTATTTTCAGTCTATTTCCTCTCTGTTGTTCAGACTGAATACATTTGGATCTGTCTTCAAGTTCACTCATTCTATCCCTGTCATCTCTACTCTCCTATGGAGTCCATCCAGTGAGCTTCTTATTTTGGTTATTATATTTTTCAGTTCCCACATATCCTTTTGTTATTCTGCTACTGATTTCTAATTTAATTCCAATAGCTCTTTTGAGTTTGTTTTTTACTTTTTCCTTTTCTTTATGATGTTTTGTGACATAGAGAGTTTTTAAACTTTTCATTTTGGCAAATCTCTCCGCCTTTTCCCCCTATGATTTCTGCCTCTGTTATTACTTACATATGTCTTCCATGACCAGGATTGGGTCTTTATACACCTATTGCTTTAGTTCTTTATTATTTTCTCATTTAACGATTTTCTCTTTAAACCCATTAAAATTTATTTTACAGTATGAAAAGGGCATAAAATAACCTTTTTCCAAATAATTAAATATGCTCTTATAAAGAAGTAAATTAGGCCAGGTGTGGTGGCTCACACCTGTAATCCTAGCACTTTGGGAGGCCAAAGTGGGAAGGTAGCTTGAGGACAGCAGTTTGAGACCAGCCTAATCAAGAGTGAGACCCAGTCTGTACCAAAAATAGAAAAATTAGCTGGACATGGTGGGGCACACCTGTGGTCCCAGCTACTCAAGAGGCTAAGGCAGGAGGATCGCTTGAGCCCAGGAGATTGAGGTTGTGGTGAGTTATGCTGATGCAACTACACTCTAGCCCAGGTGACAGGATGAGACCCTGTTCCCCAACCCAGGAAGGAAGGAAGGAAGGAAGGAAGGAAGGAAGGAAGGAAGGAAGGAAGGAAGGAAGGAAGGAAGGAAGGAATTAAATAATCTATTATAGAGGAAGCATAACTACTGGGAGAATATAATTTATAATAAGCATAATAAATGTTCTCAGAGAAATAAGGACAATATTAGAATCATGAACCAGGAGCAAGCAATAGTGGAAGAACAAATTAGAGATATTGACTTTCAAAAGAATAATTGTGGAAATAAAGAACTCAGTGAATGGAATGACTAGGAGAAGGATGAATGGATGAGGGAAAGACCGAGTCAAGGAACACTTCCTAACACTCAAGAGTGTTAGGAAGGAATAAAGTGATGGGCAGTATAAGAGAAAAATTAAGAAGTATTGAAGAGAGATATATACATGTCTATCTTGGCATGTATTTTATGTCAGATTCATGACCATTTGTGCCAAAATAATGAAGTCTTAATAAGAAAATTCTGTTTGCAAATGTAGCCCCTAATTACTATGTTTAAAGAATTCTTTGAAACTGTAACCATGTTTTAAAACTTTAGGTTAGAATTCCTAAGGACTTCATGGGAGTGAGCTGTGCCTTCACTCCACTTGGCAAAATTGGGATTAACAGTGAATGCAGCTACATTGCCAGGTAGTAAAAATAGCTCACTAGTTCCATACCTATGTCACCTTACCCGATCTGCATGGGAGCAGACTGACAGGGCAGTTACTTGTTAGACTAGTATTAGTACCTGCAGTCTAGACATGTACAGTGGACCAACCTAATGTCTATTCCAAAGGTGGAAATATTTCAGTATAGGTAAAGAGAAGGAAAAATAGTAGCTAAGGATAAAAAAACATAGATATGTCAATATTTCCTCAAGAAGTCCCAGAAGGGGGGGAAAAGAGTAAATGGAGGAGAGAGACTATTTGAAAAAATAATATTGAGAATTTCTCAGAATTAAAGAACTATATAAGACATAAGATTGAATGTGTTCAGAGAATTCCAAATAGAATGGATAACTAACTACCCTACATTAAAGATTTCAAGGAGAAAATTATAAAATATTCTAGAGAGATAAAATAGGCCAGATAAGATGAACAAATATCAGATTGCAAGTATCAAATGTTTCCCTAGCAACACTGAAGGTAAGAAAACAATGTAATATGTTCAAAATTTTGAGGATATACACCTCTTTTGGATATTAACTTATGACATAGAATTTACCACAAGCTTGAAAATAGTGGTGAAGGAAATGAAGGCAGTTTTGAGGCCAAGGATATTAAGATAAAATGTTCAAAATTCATAGCTAAATGCTACCTCTTAGCATCTGATTGACGAAGACACATTTTTGTTAAGTCTACTTTTATCCCACTACTAAGGTTCTTTAACTGAATCTCAATATTTCTGTACTCTAAGTGAACATGTCCCAATCCGTTGCAGTTGTATAAATTCAATAAATCAAGAGAAGATTGGGTTCAGCTATACACAGCTGAAAACCAAATAGCAGTGGTCCAATGTATGAGTCTTTACATTTATGTATTATTTTAATTCTGAAAATTCCAAGCATGCAAAAAAGTAGAGAAAAATGACACATCTAATCATTATGTGCCACCACTCAACTATGTTTATTCTAACCTCCCACTTTCTGTTGGCAAAACTGTTCCATGGGTGGTGCTGTGTACCTCACATAGACTCAGAGGAAGCACATAATCTCTAGTTGTCTAAATTAGTGGTTCAGGTAATACAAGCTGACAGCATTAATTAAGTGTCTGATCCTCTCATATGGCCCAGCTAATCCCACCTGGGCATAAATCCTGCAGGAAATTCCACAAAGGAATATGACTGAGAGATCCACCGCAGCATAATTTGTGATATGGAAAAGTGAAGGCAAGACAGCCTACGCCCCAGAGCTCTGGATGGCGCACTGTAGGGATCAGCTCTCGCCTAAAAAGCAGTGAGCTGGGTCTGTGCGGCCAGCAGGAGTGAAACGAGTATAAGAAAAAGGCATATCACGATTTCTTCTATGTCAGTTCAATGCAGTCACAGAAAAAATCTGCATGTTTAATAAGAATACATTCCATTTGAAGGTCACACATCGAACACATTGAAGTGGCTGCCTCAGAGGGAGAGGCAGGTGTAAATAAGGAATGACCTTAAAAAAAGAAGAAACGAAGTGAAAGTGGTGCTTCGCACAGGTAGGTGATGGTCATACAGCTTGAGCTGAGATATACGTGAAGAAACTTCTAGGTTTGACATTCCCCCACCCTACCCACCCCCGAAATAAAGGAAAAGACAACGGCTTGTGTTGTCTATTGGGTGGCCTCTTTCGGGACTGGTTTCCAGCAGTTGTATGCTGGTACCTCATACTGGCTGTCCATGGTGGACCCCAACTAGGAGTGATCAGTCCCAGGCCTTATGAATGTCACCTGGTCCGATTATGACTCTGCCTTTTCCTTTTTCTTCCCCCTACTCCCGAAAAGCCAGACTCTTAATCA